TGTCAGTGGCCTTGCCCACACCAAAGAGATGGCCCACAAAACAGAGGCTGGTAGGCATGGCCAGCTTGACCAGGACGAGGGCCAGCTGGGTTTCTGCAGGGAGGGGTAGCTGCATGGCAGTGTCCTGCAGCTCCAAGTGTAGCCGGAGCTGCCCCAAGAGGACTAGGAAGGTGTCCTGGGTCATTCTGAATACCTCCAGCCACTGCTTATCATCCCAGGTCTGCTGGACAATGTGCAGCCTCCAGTCCTGGCTGGCCCAGAGAGGGTGGAGCCCCAGGAGGGCAAGGGCAGCCCTGGTGATGACATCCAGCAGCACATTGATGGTGTCCCTGTTGGGGTCTGGCCAGCCAGTCAGAGTCCAGGTGGCAGGTGCACGGTGGCAGCAGCTATGGGATGGTACGCTGTGGCTGGGCAGGAGGTCGCTGCATGTGGGGGAGCCAGGAGGACCCAGGCAGATGTGGGTGAGCCGGTGGTCAGTAGGAATCTTGGGCACTGGTCATCGCTACCAGGGGCAGGGACTGGAGCAGCCATAGCATAGGGAGGCAGAGGTAGTGAGGAGAGAGCTGCCATGTGCTTCCCCTGTACTGTGCATGCTGCTCCTGGACAGAAAAGTGGCTGGCCACGGAGCAGAAGGCGGGGCTGGCTTTTCAAGAGGGCTACTGGCTGCTGGCAGCTGCATCTGGAGCCTGGAGCTCCAACCAGTGATGGCAGGGGCCCATGACATGTTTTAAGTGCCCTTAGTATGGTCTAAGTGTAACGTGTAACTGTTACAACAGGGAGGCCATGGAAAAGACTTCCAAGGGAAGTTGTGGACTCTCTTTCATTAAAGGTTTTCATGAGCAGGCTGGATAGGCATTGAACAGGGACAGTTTAGATGTAGCATTTATGCAGTGGTTTGGACCAGATGACTCTTGAGACACCTTCCAACCGTGTGATTCTATAAGTCTAAAAACAACATGTATTGGTTGACGGCAATGCAGCAGGCAGTTATTGGGCCCCAAAGCTCAGGCTAGCTCTGGTGGTAACGGCCCCTGCCTGTCTCTCTCTTTACCACCTCCCATCTGTGCCTTCCTTCTTCTTTGGAGTCTCCTTTTCATGGGGTGGTTTGTATATCTTGTCTGAGCACCAGAGACAGAGTCTGTTCAGGTGCTGGGGCTTGGTGTGTCAACATATACAAATTAACATGCCAAAGTCCATTGTTCTCTTGATAACCCACTCTCCACTACCTGAGCCTCTTACTGTAGATCCTCATAGGTCTGCATCAAATGCTGTTAACCCATTCTTTCTCCATGTACAAGTTAGTCATGATGACTAAACATTACATATAGTATAGGACCCAGAAACATTACATATAGCATCACAGGGTGCATCTACACGTACCCCTAACTACACACTTGGTACTGAGCAAGTACTAGACAGCTGGTACTAAGCAAGTACTATGCAGTTAGTACTGAGCAAGTTGCTTTAGCAAGTACTAAATGACTGCACAGTGCCGGTACTGCACAGTCCCTGTGGTGCACAGGTTGTTTTCAACCCTAATGTGGAGTAGCAACGAACTACTGTGCAGTAGCTCATTGGCACTGTGAAATAGCTGCGGTGTCACAGTTAGTGTCTGCCAATGCTATGTCACTCTAGCATCTCGTGTAGACACACCAACAGTCTGTCAGTCTATGTCTGTGCTCTAGGCAGGGGTCACTAAGGTGCAGTCCGCCTGAAACTGAAAATCATTTGCAGAGGTCCTGCACGCAAGGCGATAGGTTCAGGGCTGGTGTTGTACTGCATGTAGCTAGAATAAATCTGTGCTTACTCCCCTCTTTGCTGTGAATTGCTGATGTGCTGTTAATCCCAGAGTAAGTCTGTTCCCAAAGAAAAAAAACTAAATAGGGTGGGTATACATGGGACATTGGTAAGACCAGCGAAAAAGGAAATAAAATAGATTTCTCTGCATGTTATGGTCTTGTTACATGATAATTTTAGGCAGTTTCTGGAGCTCAACCCAGAGGTGGGAAATTATTTCAGCTAGAGGTCCACTTAATGAGTTTTGCTGATCTGTTGAGGGTCTCACAGATAAAATCTTTTAGAAGATATAATTTTAACAAATTATAGATAAAAAAAAATCATACACTAAAAATCAAACATCTCCTATAACACATTCTAATTTTATTTTTTTTAAAAATTGTTGTTCTGAATTATGTGTTTTGAGTAGTGTATATACAGGTAATTGTACAATAGTTCAAAATAGTCTTACTCTTGTATGTTGTGGTGGGGAGTGTGTGGGAAGTTTGGGGGTGTGTATGTGGAAGAGGTGTGGGAGGTATGTATGGGGGTAGAGTGTCTGTGGGGGGTTGCAGGGGGTGGGGTATGTGGGGATGGGTATGTGAGGAGGTGCGGGGTGTGTATGAGGTATGTTTAAGGGGTGTGTGAGGGTGGGGGGTGGCATGTGTGTGTAGGGTGGGGTATGTGTGTGGGGGGAGCTTGTTCAGGGGGCATAGGATTGGGGGGTGGGCATTTGGGATGGATATGGAATGTGGGGACAGTATAGGGTGTGTGTTAGGGGGCTGCCCCCATGCTAGGTCCTGGGAGCTGGCCAGGGGTCACAGAAGGAGGTGGGGGAGCAGGAGACATGTGTAACAGAACTTGCCCAGGCAGTGTGATTCAGATGTGGTCTGTCCTCCCACCCATCTGGCCCAGGGCTGCCCCCATGGTGCTCTGAATGGGGCTGAGCCCCACCCACTCCTCTCAGGGCAGCCCATGCCACATTCCTGCCCACACCTGCCCCCCTGCCCTGGCCCCAGCCCCCACCTCAGCACTGGTCCCAGCCAGCATGCACAGCTTCCCAGTGGGGAGGCTCCCAATGTGGCTGCAGCCACCTGGGTACTGCTTGGCTTCCCTCCACCTCCAGTGTCTCCTCCTCCTCCTCCTCCCCCTGGTGCACCATTCCAGGAAGCAGGTAATATAGGGAAGCCATGGGGATGCATGCCAGGCATCACACACCCAGCCAGGTTGGGGGGAAGCTGCAGCCAAGTGGCTCCTGCCCCAGCATATGGGGCTCCAGCACCAGCTTCTGGCTGTCTTCCACCCACTCAGCCACCTGCAGATGGTTGCTCATTGTGCTGGGTGGGCAGAGTGAGTGTAAGGTGGCCAGATGCTAGAGCTGAAGCCCCATGCACTGGAGAAGAAGCCACCTGGCTACAGTTTCCCCCCTGCCTGGCTTGACATCTGCTGCTCAGCACACACCCCTATGGCTTCCCCATGTTACCTGCTGCATGGAGTAGTGTAGCAGGGGGAGGAGAAGGAATCACTGGAGGCAGGGGGAGCCAAGCAATACCCAGGTGGCTACAGCTGCACTGGGAGCAACCCCACCAGGAAGCTGCGAGTGCTGGTCATGGCTGGGGCCATTGCGGGGTGCAGGCAGGAGTGCAGAGCAGGCTGCACCCAGGCCAGATCCAATCAATTGGCGGGTGCCCGCCCATGGCCTAAATCCAATCAGTTGGCAGGCTGGATCTAATCCATGGGCTGTATTTATTCACCTCTGTCTTAACCCCTGGACTGGCTCCACATTAACACCTTTTAAGAAGTTTAAAACACTCCTTATTTGTCTCCAGGGAAGTTTTATCTCTAATCCACCTAATTTTGCTCTTGTTCCATTAAAGTGACCACTCCAAAGAGCTATTCTGCCCAAGTCCTCCATCATCCCATAATGCAGAGGCCCCTGAGCCAGGGCAAGCAGGGACACTGGGGCACAGCAGGGCTGGGCACAGTGCTTCTGCCCTGCTGTACCACCAGGCAGAGCCAGTGCTACAGCCCTGGGGCTCGCTGGTTCTGCCCGGGCCCAGTAGTCTGGGAAGTTGCTGTGGGGGGGGAGTGGGAGGAAGTACTGGGCTGGAACTTCCCACCCCTGCTGGGCTAGGGAGACACCTGTGAGTGGTGCAGCTCCTCCATCTGTTCTGTGCAACCCCAGCCCAGATGGGCAGCCCCGAGCCCTGTGCTCTGTTCCTGGAGCTGCCCAGCTGCTGCGGAGGTTCAGGGGTTTCAGGTGCCTGCCAACTGTGGCTGCTGCTGGGCAAGCCAGGTAGGGAGAGCTGACAGCCAGACCCTGTACAGCCCAGTGGAGCACGGGATCAGTGGGAACTGACCTCTGACTGCCGTAGTGCAGCCACCAAGCTCTGTTCTACTCCAGCAACCTGGCCCTGCCAGGGCATATGTCCAGGTCCTGGGGACTCAATCCTTTTTTTGCTTTGCAGGACTCTGGAATCCGGGATTCCTGAGATCCACCCCAGGTCTCCAATGTGGGGGCAGGAAGTTCACTGGATTAGAGCAGTGGGAAGGGGATCTGGGAGTCAGGACTCCTGGGTTCTAGCATGCCTTGGAAAGAGGAGTTCCATCTAGTGGTTAGGGCAAGGAGGCAACTCCCTGTCCTGTGACTGCTCCTGGTCCCATGGCGCCAGCCCAGCTCCTATGTGGCTTCCCCTTCCTGTCCAGATCAGGCCCTGCAATTGGTTTAACTTCCTCCTTGTCTGTGCCTGGCGCCTGGCTCCTGACTGGCAGTCCTCCATGGATCTGAGCTGGGGATAGCTGAGCCTGGTGTTTGTAGTGCAGCATGAACGAGGCATGGGAGCTGGGGCACTGGGCCCTCACTGGCTGCCAGGCTGACCCCTTCCTCCTTCCCCCTGCCCCCGAAGCTGCATCCTGCTGTCTGCAGCACAGGCCATCTGATTCTGATTTTAGGTCAGTTCAATGGTAGTTCCTCTGTTAAGAGATTCCTCTGGCCCCAGGGTAATGCTTCCATGGTTCCCTCCAACCCCACCCACTATTCTGCCGCAGGAGGTGTGCTCAGCCCAGCACGTAGTGCCAGTAAAGGATCCTGTGACCACTGTGTAAGCTTGGCCATGAGCCTGGGTCCTCCCATGTAATCCTCGCTGCTGGCAGGCTTTAAAAGGGTCTGCCAAACTGGCATAGTTAGACACGCTTTTGGCAGTGGAGTCCTTCAGAACCAAGCAATGGACTTGCACCGATACCTTTGTCTCTCCTTTGGTGAGCATCCTATGGCTTCATGTAGCACCCTTGGCAAGGAAAGATGGATCAGGACAGCAGCCCCCAAACCTGGCAACTGAGGGGCATTGACAGCTTTTCCACTCCCCCAGCAAATGGGGATGACTACAACTGTATGCTGGGAGAGGCCCTATGTCTCTGCAACAGGCAGGGGCTAAGCGATGCCATGCCAGATTGGTCTGCATGTGGGGCAGTGCCCCAGAGAGGATCCCAGCTGGTCTGCTTGGGGGGTACTGTCCCAGGCAATGCCGTGCAGGCTGCTCTGTGTATGTTAGGGAGAGAGCTATGGGAGGGGACTGGGTCAGTGTGGGATGTAGCTCTGAAAACTGGCCCCTGCTGTATCAGAGATGGGTTGTGGATGGGGTTAGCGCAGCCCTGTTGAGTTGGCCAGAGTCCATCCTGCTGGCTCTACAAGAAGGAGGTGTCATGGTCCCTGATGCAATGCTGCTCCTGATGTTTCGTTCTTTGTCTCCTCCAGCTGCCTACCTTGGAGTTGTCACCTCCTCAGGTAGGTGAAGCTGTTTGCTATGCATCTCCCTTGGCAGCCTCTGGGCCAGCACCAGGAACTCTCTGGTTTTAGGAGTTAGGAAGTGGGGATGAGGCCACTGGGAGGATGAGCTGACCCTTAAGGAGAAACAATTCCCCTAAAGTGAAAAAGGTTAATGCAAACTTTTAGCCTTGTAAGGCACAAAGGCAGCAAACCTGGAGCCAGTGGGTAACAGGGAGGTGGAGAGGACAGGATAGGGATCCAGCCCACCGGGCTCTGCCCTGACGTACCAGACCAGTTATTTCATTTCTTTGCTCAGTGCTGAGAGTTTGTCGGACTCAAGGAAGTGCAGGAACAGGGAGTTAGGATTCCTGGGGTCTGTCTTGCTTCTGGTGGGGAGTTGGGCCTGGTGGTTACAGGGAGGCAGGTTCTATCTGCAACTGTGCAGAGCTCCCTGTGCATCAGGGGTGAGTGGCTTCTTGTCTCTGTGCCTTAGTTCCCTCCCCCACCCCCCTCAAGCAGCACATTTTCTGTTTGTATCTGGTGTGGAGAGAGGCATTCACTTAGAGGACTAGCAAGCTCCTTCAGTATCTTTGGGGGAGGGGATTATGCAGAACACTGAAGAGTGGGAGGAGGGGCAAACAAAGTTGGGGTGGGGAGAGGTTGGCATCTTACTCCTGCTCTCTACACTCCCCAGGAGCCACCCCTGGTGCCCTGTTCATTTCTCCTCCCTGCCCAGGCGCACTATGGGGGGTAGGGTTGTGCCTGCCATAGCGAAGACTCTGCGTGGAGCGTGCCATTCCATTCATCCCATGTCCCCAGATACACTACTGGGTGAGAGGCTGCACCTGCCTGGTTCCTATGGCCAAGCAGGGC